GTTTCAGAAAGAGGAAGTTTGTCCTCTGGGCTTTATATAAAATAGTGGACTGGGTGCATGCAGGGTGGGGGGGACAGGGAAGGGGTTTGGGAAAGGACTGTCAACAGAGGCTTAAGTTAATTTATTTGTAAACATAATGTGGTCTACCGCACTATGAAGGCACAAAGAAAAACGTGTTACAAACGGGACTGAGCATCTGAACACACACAAGCTCCTGCTCGCTTGCCCTGTGGAGCTGGGAGCTGGGAGCTGGGAGCTGGGACTGGAGCCGACCCCTGTTGGTCACACTGAGGGATCTTCTTGCCTGCTCAGTCCTCTCAGGATCAGAATGTATCCCACAACTTTCAAACTGAAAATACCAAGTTCTAAACATCAAAACACAGCATGAGCTCCTTTGTCTAGTGTGTCAGGGTGCCAGTTAGGCCCCAGTCCAGGTTAAACCAGATCCTGTTTTGTGTCCTTGTCCTGTTCTTGTAGTTTTAGGTCTGTGTTCTTGTACATTTAGGTCTGTGGTCCATTTTGAGTTATTTTTTGTGTTTGGTGTAAGGAAGGGGTCTGATTTCTTCTTTCTTTTGCACATGGATATATATATCCATTTGTCCTAGCAGCATTTGTTGAAGACTGTTTTTTCCCCCATTGAATTGTCTTAGCCCCTTTGTTGAAAATTAGTTGATATGAGGATGAATTTGTGGGCTCCCAATTCTATCCCATTGATCTATATGTGTACCCTTTTGCTAGTACTACCCTGTCTTGATAACTGTAGCTTTGTAGTGTCTTATCTTCTAACTAGAGGCCTGGTGCACAGATTCGTGCCCCAGTGGGGTCCCTCGGCCTGCTCACAATCCAGGACCCCTTGGGGGATGTCGGAGAGCTGGTTTTGGCCCGATCCCTGCAGGCCAGGCCAAGGGACCCTAGTATGCATATAAGATCTTTGGTTAATCTCTTCCCGCCCTCACCCCTCCCCCTTTCCTCTGAGATTGTTTCATCAGTCTGTTCCATGTTTCCATGCCTGTGGTTTCCGCTCCTGCGTTGAGCGTCTGCCCCCTGGTGGTCAGTGTGCATCATAGTTACTGGACGGTCAGATGGTCACTTAGGCATATATATGAAAGTTAGGGCAGGAATGAGCAATTTGACTTTGTTACACCACCCACACACTGTTACCCAGCCTTTGGCCTTGACTGTCGGGTGGGTGCAGAAGTGATTCAGTGCAATTGTAGGGGATGGTCTGACCTTGAAAAACCGTGGAACACAGCACATCTGCTGCTTTTGCCTCCGCGGTGCCGACGCAGTGAGGTGCCTTCAGCCTTTTAGAATAAGTGGCAGAGGAATTGAAATTGCTGTTTCTTAACTACTTATGACTGAATAATAGTTAAAATGTTAAAAAGTAAATCAATGTAATCCTTTTAAAAATAGGTATCACATAGGCGACATGACACGCTAAATGGGTGGTTAGAAACTGTGTGCTCCTTATGATGGAACCTCCTCTCGAGTCTCAGGACAGGCAGAACTGAAGATCAAAGAATCGCTGAAGTGCAGCTCCAGCAGCTTAAGTGAGGTCAGCGGCTGTCCCCAGTGACCTCCTGTCCGAGTGGATCTTGACCAGCTCTGGCCTTGGTGGCCTTCCGCTGCCTTTGCCACATTCATGAGACACATTGTAAGCATCTGGAAAAGACGACGCATAGATCAAAGTTCCAAGTTGCAAGGGCTTTTGGAGATCCTCTCAGCCAGGTTTCTTTTCACTGGGAAGTCACGGAGTAGAATTGCTTGGGGGACTTGCCTTGAACAAAGGGATATGGTTTTGAGGTTTTTAGATTCCAGGACTGCTGCAGGTGAGTCAGGGATGGTTTCAGAAAGAGGAAGTTTGTCCTCTGGGCTTTATATAAAATAGTGGACTGGGTGCATGTGGCAGGGTGGGGACAGGGAAGGGGTTCGGGAAAGGACTGTCAACAGAGGCTTAAGTTAATTTATTTGTAAACATAATGTGGTCTACCGCACTATGAAGGCACAAAGAAAAACGTGTTACAAACGGGACTGAGCATCTGAACACACACAAGCTCCTGCTCGCTTGCCCTGTGGAGCTGGGAGCTGGGAGCTGGGAGCTGGGACTGGAGCCGACCCCTGTTGGTCACACTGAGGGATCTTCTTGCCTGCTCAGTCCTCTCAGGATCAGAATGTATCCCACAACTTTCAAACTGAAAATACCAAGTTCTAAACATCAAAACACAGCATGAGCTCCTTTGTCTAGTGTGTCAGGGTGCCAGTTAGGCCCCAGTCCAGGTTAAACCAGATCCTGTTTTGTGTCCTTGTCCTGTTCTTGTAGTTTTAGGTCTGTGTTCTTGTACATTTAGGTCTGTGGTCCATTTTGAGTTAGTTTTTGTGTTTGGTGTAAGGAAGAGGTCTGATTTCTTCTTTCTTTTGCACATGGATATATACATCCATTTGTCCTAGCAGTATTTGTTGAAGACTGTTTTTTCCCCATTGAATTGTCTTAGCCCCTTCGTTGAAAATCGGTTGATTTGAGGATGTATTTTGGGGATCCAAATTCTATCCCATTGATCTATACGTGTATCCTTTTGCCAGTACTACCCTGTCTTGATAACTGTAGCTTTGTAGTGTCTTATCTTCTAACTAGAGTCCTGGTGCACAGATTTGTGCACCGGTGGGGTCCCTCGGCCTGGCCTGCACCCTCTCACAATCCAGGACCCCTTGGGGGATGTCGGAGAGCTGGTTTTGGCCCGATCCCTGCAGGCCAGGCCAAGGGACCCTAGTATGCATATAAGATCTTTGGTTAATCTCTTCCCGCCCTCACCCCTCCCCCTTTCCTCTGAGATTGTTTCATCAGTCTGTTCCATGTTTCCATGCCTGTGGTTTCCGCTCCTGCGTTGAGCGTCTGCCCCCTGGTGGTCAGTGTGCATCATAGTTACTGGACGGTCAGATGGTCACTTAGGCATATATATGAAAGTTAGGGCAGGAATGAGCAATTTGACTTTGTCTTTCCCTGGTCTGACCAGTTATTGGATTCCTTAGATCCGTCTTCAAGCTTTCTGCCACACGTTGCTTCTCCTCGTTCATCTTGTTGGTTTAAGTAGGAGATGATATCCAAGAAGTGCCGAGAAATTTCAGCTGCTGGGCCCCTGAGTTCTCCTCGCCATGTCCGCTGTGTTCTGACTCAGTAGAATGTATAGAACTGAACATTTGGGTTGTGAAAAGGTGCAGTGGTTTCTGAAACTCTCTACTTGGTTAAGTTCCAGATAATACAGCTTACTGTACTGCTAAAAGATTTAAAGATCTTTCTGGTCAGACAGTTGCTTAGGCTTTTATATATATAGATGGAAAAATTAGGGCAGGAATGGGCATTCTGACTTTTTCTTTCCCTGGTCTGACCAGTTATTGGATTCCTTAGATCCGTCTTCAAGCTTTCTGCCACACGTTGCTTCTCCTCGTTCATCTTGTTGGTTTAAGTAGGAGATGATATCCAAGAAGTGCCGAGAAATTTCAGCTGCTGGGCCCCTGAGTTCTCCTCGCCATGTCCGCTGTGTTCTGACTCAGTAGAATGTATAGAACTGAACATTTGGGTTGTGAAAAGATGCAGTGGTTTCTGAAACTCTCTACTTGGTTAAGTTCCAGATAATACAGCTTACTGTACTGCTAAAAGATTTAAAGATCTTTCTGAACGGCTATGCAAGCAAGCAAGCAAGCAAGCAATCCCGGCATCTAGCTCTCCCAGGTGGGCTGTGACATAGCCTTTGAGCTGAACCTCGCCCTCCCTGGGCCTTCCTTTCCTTGCAGACATCTGCATTGCTGTTTCGTGAGCAGTCGGTATGCTAATCTGGGCATCGTTGTAGTAGCAGAGAAATGGAAGGTGAGAGATCTGCCGGGAGAGGTGGAATTCTGGACAAGGCCACTTATCATCACTTCAGGTTACTGAGCCAAAAAAAAATGATAAGTCCATGAGACATCTGGGACTAATAAGAACCATCCTGCTATTGCTGCTGTTCCTTCTGTTAGGACTTGTGTGCAGCACAGGCTCATTTTCAGGTGATAGTGCCTAGAGCTTGCACTATGAGCTATATTGTAATTAAAACACATTTTAATTTCTCAATTGGTGTTGGACATTAAAGAACATCTATACACAGAAACTGTCCTTCATCAAGAGCTTCTATTAAGAGGCCCTGCATATGGTGAGGGGTCAGGAAAGTGAACCCACCGGGAGGCAGTGGCCAAAGGTTATGGAACAGGTTGCGGATTCGGTCTGCCTGCATGCATTGCCTCCTGAGTGAATGTGGACAAGTCCCTTAATCCACCCAAGTCTCAGCGTCTTGTCTTTAAAATGACGATAAGAACAGTACTCACCTCCTAGAGTTGTTCAAGGTTGAAGACCTGTGTGAGCCCTCAGTGCTTACCTGAGCATCTCCTAGCTCACTCTCCAGGGCCCTTCTGGCTTCTTTCTCTTCCTTTCTCATGCGCACAAGGGCCTCCTCTAGACATCAAGCACTTACACAGGCAAGGGTTAAAGCTTTCTGTGAAGAGCCAGATTCGTAAGTTCGTCGGGCTTCGTGACACCACAGGCCTTGTTGTCTTGGCCACAACTCCTCACTCTGCTGTGGTAGCAGGAAGGCAGCCATCGGCAGCGTGTCCGGGTGTGGTGGTGTTCCAGTAACACCGCATTTTTCACGCAGGTGGCCAGCGGGCTGGACTTGGCCTGCTGGCTGCAGTGTGCCAGCCCCTAGCAGGAAGGCAGCCATCGGCAGCGTGTCCGGGTGTGGTGGTGTTCCAGTAACACTGCATTTTTCACGCAGGTGGTGGGCTGGACCTGGCCTGCTGGCTGCAGTGTGCCAGCCCCCGGTTTACGGAATCAAACCTGTGATCCTTCAGTCCGAGGGCTGAAGCTCTAACAACTGAGGCAAACCAACCAGGGCACGTCATGGTTTCTTAATACATGTCAGCTGTCCTCCGAGCTGGGGACTGCCCCTTGACACTGGTTTCCATGTTTTGCACAGAATGTCGAGGTCCTGGCCAGTCGGAGCACCTCACAGCAGGCCCAGGTGGATGCTGAGCTGCGCGTGCAGGCCCTGGAGGAGGAGAATGAGCGGCTGCGGGGCAGCCTGGGCGAGCTGGAGCAGAGCGTGGCGCGGCTGCAGAGGCAGGCTGCTGACCTTCAAGGCGACGAGGCCAAAGCCAAGGACACCCTCAGGAAGTACGAGGTGAGGGGGGCTCTCGGCGCTGGGCGGAGGCGGATCTGCCTTCCTGTGTGAGCCGTGTCAGGAGCGGGGAGGGGTGCGTTGCCATCATTTAGTAGGAAAGGTCCAAGCACTCGGGACTGTGTCCTCTCTGCAAGCCATGCTGTTTGTTTCCCCACAAGTGGTTTGAATGGGAGCTGAGCTCCTAGTGAGGCCTGGGAGCAGGGCTGATGAAGGCAGGGTGGGGCACGCCTGGGTAGGCACAGGAACCCTGATCACGCAGACGGCAGACACGCTCAACGTTTGGACACCGAGCAGCGGCCTCCCCATCCCCAAAAAGGCCGTCTCAGCAGCCCCCTTGGGTCTGTTCTCTCTCGTCACCATTTATTCTCTGTTAACACACAGTTGACGGTGTTTGAAGTCCCAAACCAATTTAACAAACCAGCTCTGGTTTGCCGGGTTTCTAGAGGGGGGGGCTGTTCTAAAGAGACAGGTAATGAGGGCCGCTGACAGTAAAAGAGGGGACAAAAGACATGTAAAGGGAGATGCGCTCCAACAGAGGTCCCCCTAAGGTCAGAGTCACCCGGAAGCCTTTTCCAAGACTGGGTGCCGGAGTCGGTTCCCTCAGTACCTGCCCCAGGGGCGAGGCTGGATATCGGTGTTTTCCAAAATCCATCCCAGGTGATTCAGGTGTTCACGTCTGGCTGAGCACGGAACTGCAGACAGGCACACGCATCCAGGAGCACGGCTGTTGTGTGCCACCTTGGCCCAGGACACTCGGGCTGGGGCTGTGTCTCCTTCACTCCCCTCCTGCACCGAGCCCGCCGCGTAGCCGCAGCACACGTCTGAGCACACCTTGACCCCATGTTTTGTCGTAGGGGGAAATCCGACAGTTAGAGGAGGCCCTCGTGTGTGCAAGAAAGGAAGAAAAGGAAGCCACGGCAGCCAAAAGGGCCCTGCAGAGTGAGCTGGAAGAGGCTCAGGTAAACACGGAGGCTGTCATCTCTATCCCTCACACAGGGAGCCCGAGAAGCAGAGGCGGAGGGATGTGTACAGATTGCCATCGGTCCTCGCCTCCCGGGTAGCTCCTTCGTAGTAACCACTGACCTCAGAGTGTCCACCCAGACCAGCGGGTCTTCCCTGGAGGACATTTGGCGGTCTCTGGAGAAAGTTTTGATTCTCACACGAGGGGAGATACTGCTGGCATCTAGTGGGGAAAGGCCAGGGATGCTGCTGCACATCTTACAGGGCACAGGACAGCCCCACAGCAGTGAAGGGTCTGGCCCCAAATGTCAGTAGTACCAGGGTTGAAAAATCCTGCCCAGCGGGCATGGCTCAACCTATGAACCGGGAGGTCCACCTATGAACCGGGAGGTCCTGCTTTGATTCCTGGTCGGGGCACGTGCCGGAGTTGTAGGCTCGATCCCTGTGGGGCATGCAAGAGGCAGCCGATCAATGATTCTCTCTGATCTCCCTCTCCCTTCCTCTCTGAAATCAATAAGAATATATTAAAAAAGAAAAATGCTGATCTCGACGTTAAAGAGCTTGACAGCTTTCCCGATATAAACGTGACCTGTGAGAGAAGGCGGGCAGGGCTGTCCCCCAGGCCCCGTGGCGTTGATTGGTTCTCTGGCAGAAGCCAAGTTTCTCTCTCCTCTGGGCAAACAGACTCCAGCGAGTGCAGACCTTGAAGATGGCTTTGGCAGGAGCTGGAGGAAGTCCTTCCCTTGAAACTAAATAGCTATCTCCATCAAAATCAGTAGGTTCTTAGAAAATTAGCTTTTCCCACTGGAAGGTTAGAAAGCTTGATTGAAGTGCGTTCTAAAAAATAGTCTGCCCTGAAGTTCTAAGTTGACTTTGCACAGTGACCTCCATGTGACCCAGGTGTCTCCCTGCTCTCTCGGTTTAAAGAACCAGCACCGACCATCCCTCAGGCGAGTTCCTGAGAAGGTGAAAGCCCCTGAGAAGGTGAAAGCTGGGGTTTTTGAGCAGTTGTCTGGGAGGAGGTTGTTAAAGTTTTCCATTAGGAGCTCGAGGGCAGGTGGGGGAGGGGCCGTGAGAAGTGGTGAGAGCTGCCCGCAGGCAGCATCCAGATTTGTAGGCCTCATGGCAGCTTTCCTCTCCGTACCCAGTACCCAGCTTTACCCCTTGGGGTGGAGGAGAGGAGCCAGGTACTAGGATTCTCTCAGGTCCCCTTAACTCAGGGCCCTCAGCCTTCAGTGGTCTCCACCTTCCTTCTGGCTTTTGACAGAGACCTTGACTTTATATATAATAAAACCCTGTTTGTTTGTTCTTCCCCCTGACTTTGGTGATCTCAGTGTCCTTGCTTTGGATCTCTCTCTCTCTCTCCCCCTCTCCCCCTCTCC